CCCCCCCTCTCGACTTTTTTCAATTTGATGTTTCTTCCCCTCTGTGAATCCTGAAGTCAACTAAAGGGGTAATGATAACTGCCTAAACACCTGCCATTTGAAATAAATAAATAAATAACTACAGTATGCAACAATTATTAATTTTTAAGAAGAAAATCGAACCTGTTATGAAATATATTAAATATCGCCCTACTCAAGGAACGAAATTACCATAAATCCCAAATTTCGATTCTAATTTGTGAAAAACTTATCTAAAAAATTGATCAATTCAGGAGCTAAATTTTTCACTTTTCACCACCGTGAAGTAACCTCACCTTATCTAAAGGACATTCAATAAGTAATTCTTTTATTCGAACAGCATAATTACATAAAGTACATGCGATCATATTATAACGGCTAAAATGAAGCTATCAAAACCCTACTGAAAATGGGAAACCGTGAGGTCAAAATCTCGCATGAATCGTGTTCATTCACGTTTCGCGTGATGCCGTGGTAGACTTCAAAGCACATGGTGATTTGGGGGGTTAATTTCTCCCCAAAATGAAAAGAAAGTCAATTCAGAATTGGGTGTTTGTTAAATGATGTTTTCGTAAGGAGTCTCGATTTTGCTGCCTAGGAAAATCTACCATGTCCAGCTATCTAACAGATGCTTACTATTGAGCAATCAAATGGAGGAGTAAAATGCAAAAATTACGACCACCTCGATCCCCCCAAATTAATCTAATATTTATGCATTAATCCCTTTAAGAGGAACGAAATATACTTTGAATCAGCCTGTCAATAACGTTTTCGGTACTCGCCTAGTACAAAATTAATAGGGCCGTTGGGTAAACTTAAACAAGCTAAATGTGTTTTTAACAGTGACCCAATTTCATGGCAGGGCTAAAAAGACTTTACAACTTTCCATCACGAGGAAGCATCAAAACACTTAGAAGGTAAAAGTTCATTAATCGAGGAAAATATTCATGTTCTAAACGAGGTGGTGGGGGGGGGGGGGGTTTCAGAGCAAGTACAAGAACTGTTGGAGTATCAGGAGAGGCCTGCTTGATCGGAATTCCAGAATATTAGCTATGCTGCTATTATAAGTTGAATTGCTTTACATTCTTTCCCTTCCACCTCCTTGCTCTTCATAGAGGAAATTCTGTGCGTCAGGTTCTTACAAGGATTGGAAACCATCATTTTTTCACGTAGCTCTTGATGTTCCTACTTTCTGGACAAAGTAATCTGCCAATAGGTAAGCCAACGTTGGATTTGTGGTTATCCATCAATAAGGGCCTTCTAACTGCTCTATCAGTTGCGGAGTCAATGAGATAAGGAATATAAATGAGTGCTTTCTTTCTTTTTCACTTACTTTTCCGTTAGAATTGAAGTTCAAAAATATGAGGAATAGCATGGGTTTGAAGTACTCTGGGTGACTCTTCATATTTGCTGTTTTTGCGCATTTAATATCTTGTCCTTCTCCACGGAAAGCTGTCCCTTGATTTAATTTCCATATTTCTAGCTGGGGGGGGGGGACTTTGAGGGCTTGTAAGTTGTCCCTTCTGTTTTTCTTCGTCAGGTAGTGACTAGAACGGCCTTCTTTCAATTACCATTCACTTTCGGAGAGACAATTGAAGATCACTCATATAGAATAATCGTTTCGACAAATATGTCTTCATTACCTTTTCTTGAGATTTAACCAATAACACTTTCCATCTTGGAGTAGGTTTAAGGTCCACCAGTTGTAGATGAGACTTGAGGATATTTAAGATTACAAAATCATTGGCTAGATCCTTATCATTCACTGTAGGTTAGGTAAGGGAGATTGCTCGAATGATCTTGTGTAATTTATTTTGGCAGGTGATTAATCTTGGGTCTGGTTATTCAGGTCAGTGGAAGAGGTTACGCGCCATTACCACTTACCCATGTTAGTGACTCATCAACTCTTTATATACTGGCCATGAACTTCACTGTCAGAGAAGAGGCAACCACATGTAAATAAATAAATATATATATATATATATATTTGATAGTCAAGTGTAAATTAAAATGACAGGTAAAAAATTTATTTATATCAAATGACAGGCGTTGTGAAAGTTATCATTAGCCCTTTAGTTGACTTCAGGCTTCACAGAGGAGGAACATCAAAGTGAAACAAGTCGAGAGGGAGAGGGTGAACAGAAGAGAGTTTCAAAGATGTAAAAGAGACAGACACAAAAGTGGAAAAGGGTGAGGTGAGTAGTGTGGAAGTTGTCGAATATGACATACAATGGGGTGAGGGTAGTTTGAAGTCAGAAGTCAACTGCCAGCTAATAGACTTTTTTCCGTATGAGTATACGTTGCCCAGGGTGCACCAGGTGGAGGTAAGTCTATCGCACACCCCAGACAGGTAAAAAATAATATTTCTATTCTCCCTCTTTGAAATTATCATTTGCTGTTATTATTTGGTAGTTAAGGTTATGGCTTCTACGACCTGCCACACACTATATCCCACAATTGGATGACCCTAGAAAGTGTAAGAATTTCAATTTTTTTCTTCCACAATAAGTTACGATCTTGCAGATTTTGAAGAAAGCATGCAAAATAGCCGTCGAATATTCGACTGAAACCTGAAGAGAATATGTTATTCGGAGATTTACTAGAAATCAGCAAAACTCTAGAAAACAGAGGAAATTTACTCTAATCTCAGATTTATTAAAAATTTTTTAAGTGTGACAAAATATTGTTTTTTTACTGCGGTATTACGCTGACTTCCTAAAGGAGGGATTTCTGACAATTTTTTCGTAACCCATTCCTTACTTCAATAATGAGTTGGTCACGACTAATCAGAGTTTGAAACCATCGCGACCTGGCAACGTGATAGTGCGTAACTTAGACACGAATATGCACACAAATATATCTTCGAATCAGCTGCGCAAGCCAATGGGCACACAGTGCAAATGGGATCGATGCACTTGGAATGAGGGAAGTTGATTGGTGGAGATGAACGGCACACGGGCACGTAATCACATGTGTTTGGACGGAGTTGTCCTCTCCTGCCTTCCACTAAGACTACTACTACATATCATCGCTGGTGAATCGTGTCATTTTCTCTCTTTTGCTGCATTGACATCTCTATCTGCACTTTAAATAGTTCTCGCTTTCGTAAAGACACGCATTTCAGGCACTTTCGACGGAGTATAACAAAATAAGTTCGGAGGTAAGTTCGAAAGCTAATAAAAATTATTAGTTAAATGGGCCTTTAAGTATTATTTAGCTTCCAACTATAAGATAGTTTTATATTTTCTCAATATAAGCGCTATTTAAATTATTTCAGAAAATGGTGGCCTATTTCTTTACCAAACTGTTTTTTTGCAAAAATAAAGCTGAAACTCGTAATTTTATAACGTGTCTTGTCCCAAATTTGTACTCTGAAGAAGATTAATTTTTTTCTAAGAAAATCATAAATATTTCTGTTTAATAAATAATTATAAAATATTTTATTTATTTATAGTGCAAAAAATGCGTTAATATTCATTTTGAATGTACTAATAATTGATAGTTGGTATTTATAGCCCGATAATAATTAATTAAATTGAGCGCTGCTCTCATCTCAATTAACTTGAACGATAGGATTTTTGAGGCCCATAGCGTTCTTATACGCAAAAAGGATTTTTCTTTAAAACGAGCAATCGTATGAAGTAATCTCCATGTGAAAGTTTATGCCGAAAATAAAAGGAAAACAGACGAAATTCGTAAGGTATTCCCTCAAAATTCAGGGTAAATTTAAAAACGACGAATACAAGAAATTCAGACATTCTCGTGACTTCAGAGATAAACGACAACTCATAACTGATTTTTTTCCACCCGACATTGTCAAGCGTGTAGAAGATTTATTTTTGGCTTTTATTCAAGAAAAAGAATTCTTTAACATTCCGGATAAATGCACAATAGTATCTTGAATATAATACATACAGAAAGTTAAAGGTGTTTGGAATATGGAGTGATAGAAGTGTCAATATTATTAGCCGTATTGATCAATGATTTCATTTTTGGCCTTAACTTAATAATTAGCAGTTTAAGGCCAATTAGCAGCACATTTGTTGCGCACCTTTCAGCAGACTACGACCTTATTTAATTACCATCTTGTAATCCTGATCGATGGTAACCTTAATTGCTTGATTGGTTGAATAGCAGTCAGCACCATATCGTTGACAAGATCGACGGATATGCTCACGTTGTCCTATATTTACGAATGTAACATCGTGAGGTTGGGAGAAGTTTTGTTTTAATGATAAAGTGAGGTGGTATTTAAAAGATATTGATTTTAGCAATTAATATTACCCACGAGGAAGTAAGGCGTTTGCAAATATCTAGAATAGCAGTACTATGAAAAATAGTATGCATAATTATCATATTGAACAGAGACAGCAATAGTGAAGATTAGGGATATTTGAAGAATGGTTATTCATCAAATTATATGGGCGAATTTTGGGTTAGGATAGTATTTATAAATAGGGACTTTTGGGTTTCGAAACAATTATAAGGCTAAAACAATTAAAATCTTCACCCTTTATAGTCAGTTGGTTTGCAAAAAAATGGAATTCGAGTAGGTTCCCTCATAAAACTCGAATATATGTAGTTGCGAAAATTGGAATGAATTCCAAAGTGGGACGAGATTTTTCTTTTCAATTAAATATACATTTTGCGTGTTAAAATTAATTTTTTTAACTTGATAATTTTTCAGTTCTCACTTCGCTTTTGTACTTGGTCAGAATAATTTCTCTTATAATTTTTTCTGATCCTTTTACGCAAACAAATCATATTTAAATGGATGTTGACTTGTGTTTCAAGCAATTTTCTGCAATCTGGTTAACTGTAAAGATTTCGTAAATATTAACTTGGATTGAAGTAACCAACTTTTTTTTGTTGAATGACTCATTGTCCCCTCTATGGTTCATTTCTAGTCTTATTGTTCTTTGAGCCCACTTTAACAGACTCTGAAAAATGAGATCCTTGAAGGCTCCTGATCTGCATATCTATTGCATTTGCTGTATTCTTTCTCCACAAGATCTCACGCTAATTATGATTACTTGTGAGGTAGATTAGTAGATATCATCATAATGGTGTTTGAAATCAAAGACATTACTCAAATTCATATTTGATTTTGCTTCTTATAAAACCTCGGAAATTTTGGAAATTCGGATTTGTAGATAAACTAATCAATAAACGAGCTAAGTAAGTAAGCCAAAAAGTTATGAGCAAAGTTTCTATTGAAGTACATAATTTCTTACAATAGATGACCACAATACTGATCCTCTTATTTAATTCAAGTTATCATTAGCTTTCAACAAATAAGCCAAACAATTTCAAATGAGTAATCATTTTGCCTTAGCTTTACGAAAGATATCTTCTTAACTTTTTTAAAAAGATAGCAAAATGAAAAATAGGTGCTAAAGTACATTTTGAAAAGATATATAAGCATATTAATTTAAAATAATAATGACTAAATTCAGGATAATCAAGTAAACAGTTTATTGAAATAATGATTTGGTCAATGGAAAAAGTGTATTAAAAAATTTAAATTGGATTGGGTCTTTAAAAATAATCTAATTGCAGTTTCCCACACGCTTAATCCACCCAAATTTTATAACCAATAGAAAAATTGGCTGTTCAACATATGTTTGCATCAATAAGGCTTTATTCCTTATAATCGATAAATCTCAAAGTTGGGTATTAATAGAATTAATGCTATAGATTTTTTACCTTTCTCTACTCTAAAGAAGTCGTAGAGCGATTTTACATTCCTTCAAACTCGTGTTTAGCCTCAAAATGTTGTGTAAGCTCCCTTCTTTAAAATTGCAATTTTTTTCAAACAGGAGCCTAAAACTCTAGTTTATTGACATCTTTTGACACATTTTTAGCATGTCCACAAATTAAAGACCTTTGCTGAAAATTTTAAATTGCTGATTAGGCGATATAATTACATTTGAATTAACACAATTTGATAGATGCCAATTACAATTTATAGAACATAAAACACGTTGACTGTGGCATTCTCTAATGCCTTTTTTAACACGTACTCTAAATTATTTACAATTCTTGCTAAATATTCGAAAGAGATGTAAAAATTTTAAATTATCTGAATTCTCTAAATACCCCCCTGTCTTCCATAAGGCGATGAACGAGCATGAAAATTTCTACAAGTTTTTTTGATAGAATGCTTTAACCTGTTCGTTGGTTATCAAGTTGAGCAAAATGTTCTACAGAAAGGGAAATAAAATAATTAACATTTATTTAAATTACGAACACTTTTCCATAAAAAGAGCTGACATGGCACAGACATATATCCTGCATTTAATTTTAATATTCATATTTAATATGAAAAAAAGAAAAATATTTCTCAAAATAAGAAAATACTGATAGGAAATAAGTTTGATGCACTATGCCGCACTGTTAACACCTTGGTTTTCCCTTGTTTACAATGAATACTGGTATTTCGCCTCATTTCAACGCAGGCAAACGAGACTTTCCCTGAAATTCTGAATCTGCTCTGAAGAAGTCTTTAAAGACGAAAAAACCCGTCAAGCACTTCTTACTGGGTTTTGTAATCTCGGAGTGAGGGCTGAAAGTATTAATCGATTTTACTGCGTTCCATATGATCTAAATTCGTACTTTCTTGTCATGCTAAAAGATAACTCTCACCCCACACCTAATGCATCTAGCAAATGAAAATATATTTTACTGACAGCTCTCTGTCAATGAAGTCTAACCGATCATTTATTATCGATTATCATACGTCTCAATGAATTTCGATAAGCATTATTGCATTGAAAATCACTTTATGCGAGCATATTTTTAACTCAATCAATTCAAAATATGTTGGCGATTTCCGACGATTGCAGTTTAATTATAAGAAAAGTGCTACTTCCTTCAGAAAGTAATAATATATTTAACACATTTACAGTTTCTAACAAGCAGTTAGACCAATTAGCCAATAAATTCGAGTTGATTAGCTTTTTTGCTTATGGTTAAATTTCTAAGGATTCTAAAAGTGTACTCTAGAAAGTGCTCTTTTCTGCAGATGGCATCTCAGCAAACCTTCTATACTGGTAGTCAACCCAATCCGCAACAGGGCGGACTTATTGTCAAAACAGGAGGGACTTTTATTCAACCGAGCACTGGGACCCATACTACACCCCAAACGATCTACTATACTCAAGGAAGCCAACCACAGGTGATTCAATATCAACCTCAACCCTTAACTCAGGCTCAACCTCAATATCAACCTCAACCTCAGATGCAGTCACATCCCCAATATCAGCAACAGCAAATCTACCAATCTCCACAGTTTCAACCACAACCAAGTGGTGAGCAATCAACAGTTTACTACTCCCCTCAGTCACAGCCTCAAACAACACAGAACTATTATCAAGCACAGCCTGCTCAACCTGCTCAAAATAGTCAACAAGTGTACACTGTCGGAGCTTCTTCATACCAGCAAATGCAATCTCAGCCACAGTATCGAAATATGGCACAAAGTCAGCCTCAGCAGCAGCCTCCACAATCGCAACAACTCTTCTACACACCACCACAACAGTCACCATCACGTGTTATCTACGCCAAATCAACCCAAGGTCAATCTGGGGTAACCCCACAATACCAACCTATTCAGCAAGCTTCATCACAAACACGTGTGGAACAATACTCACCTCAAGCTTCTTATCAACCTCAACAAGAACAAATTATACAATCTCAAGTTGCAGCAAGACCAGTGGCTTCCCAGCCTCGTCCGGGGCAGCAAGTAAGCTACCAACCTCAGCAAACCGTGTATTCGGCACCCTCGCAACCTCAGGTAATTAGGGTGAGCCAGAACCCAGTTCAGCAACAGCAACAGCCCTATGTGCAAAATGCGGCTCCTATCGACCGAGGAGCATACCAGACGCCAACTGGAGCCAATCAGCAGGCAGGTGTTTATCAACCAATGGGAAAGGCCGTGCCCGTCACCATGGCTACACCCCCGCAGCAGTATCAGCCACCCCAGCAGCAGAGCCTTTCTCAGTCGGTGCCAACACAACAACACCAACAACAGAGGCCTGTTCCTCAAGCGCAACCAAGACCTCAGCCCCCTCCAAATAGTCCTACTGGAACTACACCGAAACTCCGTCAACTTGTAAGCGTTTACATTACTACTGATATTTGCATCTTCGTGTCTATGTAAACAACCCCACTTAATTTAGATTGTTTAATAATGATCTTAGAATACTTTTGCTATGAGACTTCCCGATATGAATTTCATTTTTTATTTAAAATTTTATTGAGAGGTTGAATGCTTGAAAAATATTTGATTAAATAGAGTATCAATTTTGTTGCTCAACCTAAAATTTCCAAATTCTTTTCTTATAGATCTTTAATAGTACTCCAAAAATCAAAATAAATTTAACAACTATGTCATAATAACTGAACTTTATAGTTCCCAGAATACTTTATTTATTTAAAATGAATTTTAATGATAAATGCACGGTTGTGATCTAGGTCAAAAAATTATACCATGATTTGATATTTAACTAAATTTTCGCTTGGGATACAAGTAAAGAGTGGCCGCTACTATAAGCACATACAATATTAGTTGGCATAAATTTCTTTTGCGGAAAATTTTCAAAAATCGTCCATTTACCAAATTGGCATGACTCAGTCTTATTCAAAATTTTGCGTTCCTAGAAATTTAAAAAATATTTAGGTATCTTGAAAAAAATCGTACCCATGTTTTTTAATAAATTTCGTATAATTTAAATGATCTCGGATACTTTAGGGAGGTCTATATAAATATTAAATAATATATTTGCCTTATCTTGTGTGATAAATCTCCACATTTATTGAATTATAATCACTAAGTTTTCTTTACCTAAATCTCTGATTATTAAATATTTTGAATATGTTTAAGAAATTATTACTTTACCCCAACCAGACATGGGATTCATTTTTAACGAACCAATCACAGGTAAGTACTTTTAAACTATTATTACAAAGGTCGAATTGCACTAAAACTGAAGATACTCGATAGACAATTTTGGGCATAACTTCCTTCATTAACTCCTTACGTATAAATAATTTTTTCCAAAAATAGGTCAAATTGCGTCATTTGGATAAGCATTGGCTTTATAAGTGCTACTAAGGTGGCACACAAGAGGCGAAGGTGATTTTAGAAATTAATTCTGCTGGCATTCTAATTAAACACATGGCTAACAGTGCGGCTATAAAAAGGGCATAGTACAATCACCTATCATGAGGGTAAAAATATTCTTCGTCCTCTTCTAATGGTTTTCTCCTCATCTCCGTTGCCTTCTTCTTCTTCTTCTTCTATACGTGACTGCAAGGACGCCTAATTTGCACCAACCACACACACACACGCACACACATGTCTTTTCCATTGTTGGATTGGAAAAAATTGCGCTGAAAGTCACAGTCTTACCTCCTTTCTACTGGCAACAGGGCAAATTGAACAGTTTTTCCTGTTGGTTGTCAGCATTTTAGTTAATCCCCTTGGGACAAAGTTACGGTTGTAGCATTCTAGACATAAAAATACAATCTTTTTTAACCGGTCTAAGGATGCGACACAGATAACATTAGAATGTTACTTAGAATTGAGTTTCTTTGAAAGGTGTCAATGATCATGGCTTATATATATATATATATATATATATATATATTATCAGAAAACACCAGCTAATTTGTATACTTTTTATTCCTTTTCCTTCAATCGTAAATCCAACTTTCGTTGTGTATTTTGTAAAAATAAAAATATTCATTTAAAATTTCACTATGAATAAATATAAACAAGTTTAATTTTAATACTGGGTAATAATACCAAATAAAGATAAATTCTAAAGTTTTGGCAGACTAGTTTTAATAAAATTGCAATAATGATAGCCATTTCCGGATATATGTTAAATCTGTGTGAGTTGTTTAATAGATTTATTCAGATAATTTCGGACATTTTCAATCGGTATTTCATTAAAATTTTTAGCGTTATATATATATATATGGGTGTGCGTGTGTGTGTACGAATGTGTAGAATACTTTAAACCCAAATTACCATTATAAAAACTTGGGGTTTAATTAATCTTGAGGAGATTCCGATCAGTTGGTGAACTTACCCGCGGAATTGCTCATTGATTGAAATCACAATGAAAATTGTATGAAGGCATTGTAGTGCACTCAGATAGATGTTGAAGATGTTTGGAAATGCAATCAATGGGATCCATTTTTGAACTTCTGCAACCAATGTCAGAGACTCCTAATATATATATATATATATATATATATATATATATATATCGTACTGTCAAAAATGATTAAACAAATTAAGTTTTAAATACTTATAATATGGAACATCTCAATATGTTTACTTTTAGTCAGTTTATTCTCTCGAAATCTACTTTTAATCTCTATTTTATTTTTGGACATAAAATGCGAACCAAGTGATTTAGATTCCCAAAACGTAATTTTGTGGTACGCTTGCTTCGTATTTGGTGGGAGGTGAGAGGGGGGGAGAGAGAGAGGGAAAGTGAGATAAAATCTACTTAGGAATGCTATTCAGGAACTCGTGAACTGTCCAGAACAACTGACAAAATATTTTATCTGATGAAATAGTACAGATGTTCCCGTGTCCGATTTCCAAATAAGTGCGCAGTAATTCTCCGTTCTAACTTGGTCTTATTCGAATGATAACAGATCTATGTATAGCGCCGCAGATTGCTACCCTAATAAGCCTTGACGTATGCTCAGTAATCTGCATGGCAATAACTCCTAGTTTGTAGTGCATGAAATACGTTTACTTGAGAAGTCTGTACAGACGGGAGCTAAGTCATTGTGATACAACGAGGGATTTGTCAAACCATGGAAGGGCTATTGATTGGCTGTTAGTTGGGTGTGCTCCGTGATCACGATCGCACTTACTCCATAAGAGAAGTAGCGCAGATGCACCTTCGAGCCTGTCTGAGTGCGCAGGAGATTTCTTTGTTCAGCGATAACAGGGTTGTGCGCTCCACGCTTGACAATTGACATGTGATGAAAAAATATTACAATGAAATATAGTTCTAAAAAGATGAAAACTATAGGCTTAGGAACAAAGACTACCCACTATAACAGACGAAATCATTCAGCTAGATCAATCGACTAGTGAGCGTGGATCCAGCTTGGAACTTGAGAGCAATAGAATAAATTGAAAAAAATAAAGTAAAATAGCATTAATAAAAAATCAATTAGATAAATGAGTTTTTCAGACATTTGCCACAATTTTCTTACTTCACCAAATCTTTACCTGTCCGCACTTATTGCGGAAACTTAATTGATGCTCCAGAATTGCTTACCCTAATAGCATTCGCGATATCAGCTAATTATGTATCGTTTTGTTTCTTCTGTATGCAACTCGACTTGTTTTGAAGGTAAATATATGCGCTAAAATAAACATCCCGTGACATTTTAGTAGCTACCTTTTTTCACAGCAAACTTTTGCGAATGCGAAAATGACAAACAACTGTATTTACTATCGGGAATGCCAGCAAAATGCGTGGATTAGATTTCATGTTGTTTGTTGGTTGATTTAACCTTCTTTTAGGTTGGTCAATTTTTTTCGCATTTCTCGCCTCCACAATAATACACCATTTTCACAACTTCATATTACTGGATTTTGCTGTTAATATACATCATAATCATCAATCAAAACGCAGCAAGCTCTTTTTTGATGAATTTTATGACGAGCATTCACTTGGGAAATTGAGAGGGTAACTTGACAGATGATATTTCCGTGTTTTGGTGATAAATTTTGCTTCCTTATTTAAGCAATAAATGGCTACTATTTTATCTTACACCGGTGGTTTAGAAATCCTCAATCGATCTTACCAGTTTTTAGTTTTCATGCACGAATCTAAATTTATTCTATTCCAACATTGCGGGTTTAAACCATCCCCTTCAAAAGTCTGGAATATCTACTAATTTATGAAGTGAATGGAAGTCATCTCCACAAATAGAGAATGCCAATCATTAGCAACAATTCATAGCTAAAGTAAATGAAAAGTTATCTACTGCGCAGAGTTAATGCTTTTAAAGAAATAATCTAGCAGCTAAATAGTTAATGGGTCTCCTTTTGCGTAAGTTTTCTTTATTTCACGTTTCAAATTTAGTTGTTTTCGAAAAAAAGCTTCCATCTGTCTGCTTCTTATCCATAGGTCTTGCTATTTACATCAGATCAGAATAGAGACCATCACTTCTAAACCCTCCCCCCCCCCGCCCTCACTCCCAACAATTCTTCACTTGACCTGAAAGGTCAATTTTAAATTGGTCTGCCTTTTGAGAAAAACAAGTAAAATAGATTTTAATGATTGCAGTTCCAAAAAAGTTATGTTTACTTACAACAGGTGACATATTTGTAATATGAGCAACATATCTATTGGTATACACGGGAGAGAGAGTATTTAAACAAGACAGTAGGTAATAATTGTTTCATTCAATTATTGGATTTTCAGTTGTCGTTAAGTGAACTTCCTTGTGTAATATTTATAAAACACACTTCTTTCAAATTTTGGCAAACAGCAATTATACTTCTGTTTTGGTAAATTTTCATTGCAAATATTGATCCTTCCATAATCAGGCTCAGTTTCTAATAAAAAATGCAAATAAATACAAATTCATTTACCCAGTTCCCTAACATTTGGGCAAAGTATCGGGTAAGCAAAGCATGTGGACAACACAACAATGCATTTTTTGAAATATTTTTTATTTATTTTACCAATGATCGCCTAAATGTAAAGAAAAATACACCATAACTCTCTCTAGCATGCAACGTATTATCAGCATTTTCAGGTCAGTGATAAAAATTTAATTTTACTAAAATGGTGAAAGGTGATTAAATTTACCAAACAGGGCATATCTTTGGGAGTAATTATTACTGCCATAAGGTTAATGGTGAGCTAAGCATGTGGATCTTACTGCCTCCATCCCCCTCCCCTCCCTCCCTTTGGTAAAATTTACGGACAGAGTTAAAACACGGAATTCGATGTTTTGCTTCCCCACAGCAACCAAGAAGAAGCATGGACCGGGGAGATAATAACGCCCCACCACAATTTGTCCAACATCCAGTCAGTCAAGTGACTGTCAATGAAGGCGATAGCATTATTCTTAAAGCCGTTGTCAGGCCCGCTGGTGATCCCACACTTGATGTTCAGTGGCTCAAGAATGGTGTTGTTCTTTCTGCCTGTAAGTTAAATAATTTCTCGCTACAGCAAGCATTATTATTTCTTAGATTTTACTTCACATCAAAGCGATTATTTAATGGCGGGAAAGCAACTGAAATAGGCCAATAGTGAGTCCATTAAATGCCAAATTGATAGGGACTTAAACTATATTAATAGTAAAGTATATGCTCCAACATACCACCATCACGTTTGATTTATTGATTTTTAGCTGTACAACATTCACTTTTAACCAATCAAATAACGCTATTCATGTCATGCGTTACTGAGTGTTACGCATTTTTCGATCTTCCAATTTTTATTGTTTGTTTCATCCAGGGACTGCAAAAGAAAGAATAACATGTAAAGATAGTAAGACACTAAAATGAGATTAATAAAGCTGAGCTGATGATAGAGGATTATTTTCTTCTATCTAACAAAAATGTCTCAGTTTCCGTTTCATGTTGATCAACTAATTGATATCGTCAATGCAAACTCCTTTGCCATCAAATACATAAATTTATTTGGCTTATCCGAAGTATGTCAAGTTGTCTCTGGGTGCGCTGATTAGAGGGGACGTTACTGAAATTTAATCGATGACTTGCCGTTAGAAAGCTGAGATTACCAGAAAATTTATTTTTAAGAGGTTAGCATATTGTTTCCCATTCAGGTGATCTACTCGACAATTCTGAATTGTTGGAATTCGAAGACAGTATTTAATTTAATAGTAAAGGATCGGTATAAATATTAGGTGAATATCCGAATTTTCCATATTAAAATTTTATTTTAAATACATTGAAACTATTTTAATGCTTCAGTTTTATTATTAGGTTCATACTATCCTCTAACAACTATTTAATGCTAATATAACAACAATTAGAAAAGAATGCCATTAATAACATTTTGTTTTTTCATAGTAAATATCAAATTGCTTTAAACAGAAAACACATTATAAATTATAATTTAATTGCCAGAAGGTGTGGGTGTCTAAATTAACTATTGAAAGGGGAAGTAAATAGCGTTAGTATAGGTCATAATGCAAAATGTGAATGAGTTTGCGTGTATTCTAGACAATTAAAAGACAAAGCTAGTCCTCTCGGCCCGCTATCTGCCCATCATAAACTTTTTCAACTCTCTAAGGGTGGTATCAACACATTAGACGAGAAATAGTAGTATTTTTTCCTTCACTTAAAGCAAAATCACTTTAATATCTTTTGTACACAGATTTGCATTTATTCTGGTAGAAGAATTTGAATTTTCTTAACATGCAAGTGATAGTAGTGGCAGTATAGGAAATGACTAATAGTGGGAAGCCTTTCCAATCCTTCCTGCTTTGAGTGCTATTCTCAAGGTTAGCAGGAGTGACAGGCGATTGTAAATTAATGAAAAATTGATAAAACAATTATTTTATTATTATAATTATTATTACTTCAGCTTCTCGCCATACTGCCATTTTGGATCGTGGTCATGCTGAATTCCAGTTTCTATACACCAACACCACCGATTCAGGCGAGTATATCTGCGTTGTGAAGACTGCTCATGGAAGTGCTCAATCTACCCCTTGTCAAGTCACGTGAGTAGCTATTTTGAATAGTACTGTGGAAATAGTCGAATATGGCATAGAGTGAGGTGATGATAGTTTGAAGTGAGAAGACAACTGCCAGTTAATAGACTTTTTTGTCGTATGAGTATACGTTGCCCAGGGTGCACCACGTGGAGGTAAGTCTATCGCACACCCCAACGTTTCGAAAACTTATCTTGGTTTACCTTAAAGCTCATTATAGTATGTTTTCCTGCAGTGATATTTGACACAAACTTCCTATACCAATCCATGACGCTTAAACTGGAACATTTAATAAATTCAATAATAACCTTAAAGACGG